AATAATTTTTATTCTTTGATTTCTTCTCTAATTCTTTTAGCCAAACAACGCATCCTCCGTCGTCTCAAACGTCCCTAACAAAACCCTAGCTCCGTTCTTCGCTGAAACTCTTTTCTCCGCCACAAATTTCTCTATGGCCTTTGACTCGTAGATCTGTAATGTTTTATGTTTGATGGTTCAGCCGAAGAACCTGATTTTCTTCGCCGACGCCGGAAAAGAGCTCTGATCTTCTCCCTCTGACACAGAGAAGACGGTTCCCAACCGTTGGAAAGCGTCGTTGAGTATCCCATAGACTAACATATCCTCCGAATCATTTTCTTTCAATGGTAAATCTCCCCATCATGACTCTATAGATGGAACATAGTCGACTACTTACTGTAATATAGTTGACTACCATTTTACATAGTAAAAACATAGTCAACTATAATTAAAATAGTTAGCTATTCTTCAATTTAATGGTATAGCTAACTACAAAGTATAACTATCGAACTGGATCAATTCAATGTTCTAGATAGTAAACTATTTTGATCACCATATATGTGATTGAATCGCTAACTATTCATATATAACCAGTTAACTATATTTAATTATAAGTGTTATTTAGTTAACTATCTTGAAAAACATAGACTATATTAACTATATATAATTGTAAAGATTATATAGTTAACTATATTATAATTGTAAAGATTATATAATTCACTATATTATTAATTGAATAGTTAACTACAACGACATAGAAAATACGAATATAGTCAACTATACAACCGTTTGAAATCACTGAATCAAGATTAATTTGCATCAATCCAGATCATTCTTTATCTTTTCTTCACAGATAGAGTGAATAATTCCGTCAATTGAAAAAGTAATGATGTCGACATATAAAGATTTTTTGGGGATTTTTACTACTTTCTTTCAAACATATGATGACTATATAATGGTTTTTTACTACTTTCTTTAAAAAAATTATGTAAAGCCATATTTGTCCCAATTTTTCATCTATTACTACTTACCTAAATCCAATTATACTTATGTTAGTTTCCTAATTATCTATCTCAAAAGTAATATTCACCTAACTAACCCATAATCTTTTGGGAATATTTTTAAATTTACTACTTTCTCAAAAATATCTTTTCAAATCTACCATTATTCATTTTCTCCTATACCATATTCATACTGTTAAGTTACGTTTTTGCCCCTATTCTAAAATTTATTAAATTGTGGTAGATTAATGGGTGGACGACAAAACTGATATTCCGTCTCCTTCTAGTGTACCATCGACCACCATCTCGTCCACAACCATTATCTCTGTTTTTCGTTTATGTCAACCATTCACCACCATTTTCGTCCATGTCAACAATTAACGACTCCATCTTTATTTTTGTCCATCATTTCATCATCTACGTCCACCATTCATCACTGTTTACTGTTTTCGTCGTCTATG